TGTGTGTGTGTGTGTGTGTGTGTGTGTGTGTGTGTGTGTGTGTGTGTGTGTGTGTGTGTGTGTTAATATAAACTGTTGGGGAGAGTTACAGCTTAAGAGTGTTGACCTGTGGAAGACCCACCTTCCTTTAGGACACAAAACAAGCTTAAATCATTTACTTACATTTGGGAAGGGGATTTTTTCCCCTTCCCACAGTTGGGAAGTACCTGGTCATTTGATTGTTGGTTTTTCTTTGTATTTTTTTCTTACATCTTTACAATATAAAGCGTCTTGAGGTGACTGTTGTTGTGATTTGACTTTATATAAATAAAACTGAACTGAGAAATTAAAGGGGATATAAGCTGTTAATTGAATTGAGATCACACATAGATCCATTAGGGCACAATGTGCTCTTTATCAAATAAAATTAGTTGTAAGTAGCACATATCATCTTTGATGAATCAGCCGGGTCTCCAAGTAACTGCGATGACACTTGGATTATGAGAAATACCGTGAATTGAGCTTCTTTATCTTTAAAGATACAAATTAACAGTCAAGTTCAAACATGTCACCTTTTACAGCGCCGTCATCCGCGCTGATAACACCTTTCCCATAATTGTCCAATGGAAACTTCCTGCGTCATATCCGGTCAACTGTCACTTCCGGATGCGGTGAAACTGCAGAGAAGTAGGAAAACACCGCATCTGTGTGGATTAATAACGACAGGCAGGGCTGTGTATAAACCGGGAGGACACGCCAGCAGCGTCCAGAATGGGCTCGCGGACAGAAGCGTTCACACCGGGATCTGCATTTTAACGGCGCTGTACGTCACAGCGCGAGCCCGCTTTTACCGAGCAGCTGTGTTTGTGTCCTCTTGCTAGCTTAAGCCAGCATAGCGTTAGCTGGGACGCGCTAAAAAAAAACTACGTCTCTCCGGGAAGCGAGGGGAAGACTTGTCCCTTCTTTTGGTCTTCACTGTCACTTCTTCGGACAGGGGGCACAGAGGGACATCTCTGTGTTCGTGTATAAAGTTAGTTTCGGTCACTTTGAGGGCAGGACTTTTATTGGAAGCGAGTCTCCCAAACTGAGAAGTCGGGATCTCAAACTAAAACCAGCTGCTGGTGTTTTTATTTAGTTAGCTCTCCAGGACGCGTTTGGAGAGAAAAGCGCGTCGTTTGTCTGTTCCAGGGTGTAAAATGAGTGGAATGTGGCGTTCAGGGACTACAAAGAAAAGCCAGCAGACACTTTGTAAATAACACTTCCCTGTCAGCCGGAAGGCTCCAGCTCTTTTTCCTTGTTCAGCTGACAGGGCTGCAGGCAGCGTCCCGAGTTTGAATTCTGGTCAGGTGGAAGGAAGACTTCCTTGTTTGTTTTGTTTCAGCACAGCTCGTTTCTCTTTGACCAGGCTTCAACTCAACAGGTAGGTCTGCTGTTTCACACGGGGGGGTCATGTTGGTCCCCGTGTACGTGCATTTATTCTCACTCATGACTTGTAATAAAAACAACGAGCATTAGTCACTGTGGTTTACCTGGAACTCTATAAACATCAGTGTGAAGTATGAAGAAAAAACGATGGGTCTGTGGCTCAAGTCTGTCAAATCATTTAACACATTTAATATATGGTCCATCACAGCTGCAAAAGCCCAGGTTGGCGTTCAGATTTCTTAAAAAAACAACAACAAAAAACAAAAAAACCTGAAACTTATCCTGTGAATAATTATTGAGCCACATTTAAGGAGATTAAGGCGCTCAAGGTGGCAGACTTTTACAGATTATTATCATTATTGCTGGGTAACGTTTTTATGATTGACAGTGCATTAACCGTCAAAATTAATTTAATATGTTTGAAATGCTTTCTGCCAAAACTGGTGTAGACAAATCTTCATCCCCATTGTCGGCACCCACAGACTAAGGGCCTTGTGCATTAAATTGTAATAAGTGTTTCATTGTGTTAACGTTTGCATGATGTGAATTCATTTGCACAGTGATCCTCTTGTCTGTGTTCTTCTTCTCAGTGAAGGATGAATGGCCTCTCTCTCAGTGAGCTCTGCTGCCTGTTCTGTTGCCCGCCTTGCCCGAGCCGCATTGCCGCCAAGCTAGCTTTCCTGCCCCCAGAACCCACGTACACCTTTCTGCCAGACCCAGAGGCGGGCCCTGCTGCACCAGGGGCGACGGGGACATCCAGCCTGCGGGCGCGGAGTGGCGCTTCAGTTGCTGGAAGCGGGGGTACCGGGGCCGTAGAGGGGGGATGGAAGCTTCACCTGACGGACCGAGCGGAGTTTCAGTACTCTCAGAGAGAGCTGGACACTACGGAGGTCTTTCTTGCTCGATCCAGCCGAGGGAACAGAGTCGGCTGCATGTACATTCGCTGCGCTCCTAGTTCCAGGTAAATGGAATTAGCTGTCAGCTGTGACTGACAGGTATGTCACACTCGCTTTGAAGCATTTAAACCGTCTTCTTCCTCAACAGTCTTGTTCACGCCCAGGTTTGCGTTCTTTTCTTTTCTTGTTGACTCAGCTGACGCAAAGATTTTCTCTTCCTGGTTTTTTCTGTAGATCATGGCACACCCGTCAGACTTTATTCTGTTGTCTTTATTCTTTCTCATTATTTTCTCTGCTTGTTTGTAGAGCCTTAAAGTTGAATTTGCTGTTGTTTGTGATACTGATCGCAGTAAAAAGATTTGCACACTCCCTGACAACATAAGTTTCCAGTCAGAGACAAAACATTTGCAGCTATGTGGTGTGATTGACTTTATTGGCCGTTGTTGGTAAATGGCTTTATAAGAGGAAATAACCTTCTTCATCTTAGAAGGTTTGACAGTATTTTATGAGATGTAAAAGAATTTAACTCTAACTGCTACTGATTAATTTACCAAATGAATTAAAAAGAAATGGACAGGCTTGTGTTACAGTCCATTTATCTTGCATTAATGTGTCTCTAGTATTACAAAGAATGATCCCAGGCCTGACGTGATATGGCAGAGTCATTGTTTTGCTGCTTTCTAAGTGGAAAGGCCAAGAGCGAAGCCACGGGCTGCAAGAGCTCATAAACAAAACCACCGAGGGAGAATTTCAAAACAGTCGGTGTGTAGAAAAAGTATCAGGTTACTCCAGAGAGCACAACACGCATTCATGAATAACAGCCAAGGGCTAGATACCCAGCGTTCACAGTGGATACCCTGCTTCTCAGGTTATACTAAATGTCTGGAAGCAAGAGTCCTTCGTGGTAAATAATCCTTCAACCTGCAACAGTTTTATAGAATCAAGTACCTTTTTGATTTAAACAGCAGGTTACTTGTGATTTGATTAATTTCTGTGCACAGTTGGTTTTCTGCCTTAATAAAAGTTCTGTGTTTAGCTATGCTATTGTTGGCAACGCTAAACAAGAATATTTCTCATGTAATCACAATGTAGTTCTCTATATATCATATATTTCTGATTAGAGCACAGCAGAGGCTGGATCTTTGGCTCCAGTGCTGATATTGATTTTTATTTATTTATTTTAAAGGAAATAGGAAAACCGACAAGCGTGCACCTGTCTGTGTCTGTTAGCTCGTTACTAACCCTTTGTCTGAATCATCCCTGCAGGTTTACGGTGCTTTTCTCCCACGGCAATGCAGTTGACCTCGGCCAGATGAGCAGTTTCTACATTGGCCTCGGCACTCGCATCAACTGCAACATCTTCTCTTATGATTACTCGGGCTATGGCGTCAGCACCGGCAAGCCCTCCGAGAAGAATCTGTATGCAGACATAGATGCTGCCTGGCACGCCCTGCGTACACGGTATGTGATGATGCAGTTGGCCCAAACGTGTCCTTCGAGGTGTAATTTTATTATCCCAGGCGAACTTGTTCGGGCAAAATGGGGCATGAGTTTACAATGGATACAGCTGGGATCAAACGATGTTTAAAATGTGCCCAGGCAAAAAATGCCTTTGCTGTGAGAAGTGCTAAAGAAGAGAAAAAGCAGAAAACGAACGTTCGAATAAAGGGGCGTGATGAAGGGGGTTGAATGGAGGTGGTGGTGAGGACGGAGCAGAGTGAGGACAGCTGCTGTGTGAATAAAGAAGAGCGAGATGGATGGATGAGGGAAGGCTAAGGGGTGATGTATCTCAAGGGCGTTGTAGGGTGATGAAGTGTCTCATTAACAGAAGCGGTGCTGTGCTAATACAGCTGTAGCCCGGGGGTTACAAAACAGAGCGCTAACTAAAGGTCGGCTCATGTAAAAGTCACCGTTGTGTGTCATTCTTTACTCAGGTCTTAATTTCAGCATGTTGAAAAAAATATGCATGTGCTTTCTGAAATATAAATAAATAAATAAAAATTTGAATTTTAGAAACTGGTCAGTCATTTTTGGTGACTATAAAAAATTTACCTGACATGTGACCTTTGACCCTTGAGGAACAAAATTCTTTCTGAAAAATAACCAAAGCATTAATGAAAGTACTGTCAGTAATCATTAGTACACCAAAGGTAATATTTGTGGATTTGGCTGCTGTCTCTCGTCTGTATTATACGTATTTTTTCTTTCTGTTTATTTCTAACCAGGTATGGCATAAGCCCGGAGAACATCATCCTGTACGGGCAGAGCATCGGTACAGTTCCCACTGTAGACCTGGCGTCACGGTACGAGTGTGCCGCCGTGGTTCTTCACTCACCTCTAACATCTGGTATGAGAGTGGCGTTTCCTGACACAAAGAAAACCTACTGCTTCGACGCTTTCCCCAAGTAAGAGAGAGTCTTCTTACCGTTCACACGTTTTGTATGTATGAAGCTCTTCATTTCTTTCCCACATAACATTTTGTTCGTAAACACAAAATGTTAATTTGATATGAACTGGTTTTGTGTTTCCCTGCGTTGTCCAATTAAAATGATGTTTGATAAACTGCGGCATATCAAACACATCATTGCAATTGGCTGTGAAAGCCGTATATGTGATGCATGCTCAGTCATCCTGGTAAGGAAATCCCAGACAGTTGAGCCATTATGCAGCTGTGAGTCAGCTGAGACTGTACAGGTCATGTGGATGAGTTGGAAACGGGATCGGCTTTCTATACTGCCCTCTATCTGTTCGTGCTTCATCTTCTTTCTTTCTGTCGCTGAGTAGGGTGTTTAAACGTCATGCACAAAAACAAAATGCACAATCTGTGTGCTCTGACTCATTGACTGTCTGTTGATATTTTCACATTATTATTAATCTGTCAGCAGAAGAGTATGATTCCCACTTGGACTTGTGAAAGTGTGTTTGTCCAGGGAAAACAGACGTGCTGAAAGGAAAGCCTTTCTTCTTCTGAAGTGCTGTTTGAATTATTTATTTGTTTTTAGTTTTTTCAGTGTAGTGAGTCTCATTTGTTGGAAAATCCTGTTGACACATAGTTTTGTTTTTTTTTGTTTCTTTTTGGACTGGAAAATCACAAAGGCAAGGTTGAGTGCATTTACAAACCACTCGCACTTATACTGGGTGTACTGGTATCAACTGGATGATTGATAATATCTGCTGATTTGTAGGTTATGATTCGTGTTTGCTCTTTCTCACTATGGAAATGCATTGCTATTATGACCACTCAAAGCACTTTGCAAGACACATCTAACCGTGCATGCTGGCAGTGCTGCGGAGCTCACACTCACACAGGTGACTACGTTAGGATCCCCAACGTGTTCATTCTGTGGGACGACATGTGAACTCTACACGGTAAGGCCACCAATGGGGTTTGGACTACAAACCGTCTTTGACTGAGGTGTCTGTACTAACTGTTGTTCCACCATGCCACTGTTTATTTTCAGACTTTACATAATTACGTCTGGAGGACTCATCACACACACTGCCCTGTGTGTGTGTGTGTGTGCTCGTTTTGTTAGTCCAGTTGGACTAACTGTGGTTGTTCAAGTCTCTCTGTAAACAGTTTTAATCCCAGTACGTGCCAGTAGGATTGTTGAAGCTCTTTGTTCAGTTTAACCCCACGTGCTGCCACACATGGGTGTGCAGTTGTAGTGTGGGTGTTCACTCGAATGTGTTGTGGAAGTTCTTTTATTTTTGATCCTTGGCCCCAGAACGAGTCTCTTGGCCACACAATAAGGACTCGGAGTCAGTAGCAGCCCATGTCAGCTTTAGCACAGGAGCTAATATCCGATGGTAAAGTGGGCGAGGAACAGAGGTGGTAGGAAAACAACAGAAGACTTCTGGAGAACTCAGCCTTGACCTGGAGTGGGCACTGCAACCTTTTCCTGCTGAGGGCCACGGGGTCAGACTCGATAACCTGATCTCTGGTCAGAACGGTCCACACTGTTTCAGCGGGTTCTGTTTCTAATTCCTGTTTTCCTTTCTTTCCATTTCAGCATTGAGAAAGTATCCAAAATCACTTCCCCAGTGCTCATCATCCACGGCACGGAGGACGAGGTGATCGACTTTTCCCACGGCCTGGCCTTGTTCGAGCGCTGCCCGAAGGCTGTGGAGCCTCTCTGGGTTGAGGGAGCGGGACACAACGACATTGAACTCTACAGCCAGTATCTGGAGCGCCTGCGCCGCTTCATAGGACAGGAGCTGGCGGTACAGCACGGCTGACCATCAACACTACGCTCGTCATAATGACCATATTTCCCGGTCCGTTCAAAGCACCTCACCTGTTTTTGTCTGAGATGGAAACCATCTGACCCGTCTTAACCGTCCTGTGTGACGTGTGCACATACTTCAGGACGCAGTTCACCTTTAATGGACCGTGGATCATTTAGACGCAGGGGAAAAGAGGCGTCTCTTCATAATCACAGTGGAGACTGTTGGGGTTTGTGTTTGTTTGTGTGTCTTTTAGCAGAAACTTTAATAGTGCAGATGCCTGTACTGTGCAATAACATGAAAAAGAGGGAAAGGTTTTCACTGATAGATGTAAAAGTAGAACAACAAAGTGATCACATGACCTGGAAAGCTCCTGTCACCACCTCAGCGTACACTTCGAGTGGAACTTCATTTCTGTTAGCAGCTTTTTATTAGAGGACTTTTGTTGAAGCAGGTATTATGTTACATTGAATTATTGCACCTGTACAGTTAAATGGAAGCCAATTTAAACACAATATATCATGTTTTAAAGGTATTCGTTTACCTGCATTTTGTTGGCGCAGACTGCATCATCTTTAAAATCGTTTCTAACTTTCATCACGAAGGTTTGAAACCGCTCACAGCTTTTAATCTTGGGGAAAATTATGCTGGCATAAATATGAGTTTATATTTTGCGTCTTGTTTTTACGTATTGAACATTTTGCTCAGGTAACTTTTTCGAGTGTTCGCGATTGTTTAGCGCGCGGACAGCTGAAGCGCCTCAGAAGATTTCATCCAGCCTAAAATATTTCCTTTCAACGAAGCGTTCAACCGAACTTCGATCCTACATCTGAGCTGCAGTCCACACCTCCAGTTTGCTGAGCCGTCGATGCCCCCTCGCGCTTCTCTCTAACACATCTGTGTCCCACTGCTGCTGTGGGATTGGCTGTATGAAAGAAAGACGTTGAAGAGGCTCAGATGGAAAATTCCTTCAGTTCTTTCATTTAATGGAATGCGTTCGAGTCCATTAGCCCCGTCCGTTTCTTTTAGCCTTGTTTATGTCTCGCACTGCTGGGTCACAGCTGTCGGCCTGTTCTTGCTCCTCACGGTGCGCAGAGACAAGGAGAGCAACACTAAAGTTCAACACATTACTCACCTGCAACCTGTCATCAGGGATTTGTTTTTGTTGTTTTTTTTCAGTGAAGGCAGGGAGAGTAACCACATTCAGGTCCATATTCTGATAGTTCCCCAGTTTCGCAGGAACATCTGTGTGATCAGAGCACATGTTCTTCTTAGAACATATCAGCAGATTTGTCAGAGTTAAGCAGGAACACTAACACCAGGCACTAAACAGATTAGTGTTTCATCTAAATAATTTAGACTTTATAACAGCTGTTTGTATTATTATCCTGTCTATGTGTACAAACCTGCATAATGATTAAAGGGGACCTGTTATGCTTTTATCCATTATTAAACAGCACCAAGTTTCAGACGATCTGGCGAGTCGAGGTCAGACTGTCTCTGGTTCTGTGTGATCGCACTGAGAGCCATTGTTTATTATGCTTTTCTCAGAAAACAGATCAGGTCTTGAGCTCCTGCTGTTCACGAGACCCATTGTAGGACAAATAAGGATTATTTTAGGCTGGGAATCATGCAAAGCTACTCTAGTAGAGCCCAAGTATAGAAATATGGAGCTGGAAAGGAGCATAATAGGTCCTCTTTAAGTATCATTTTTGTTTTGTGAGGTGCGTTTTCTGTCTTCTGAGAATATTTTTAGGAAACATTGGCACATTATTTGATTGATCTCAATTCTTCAGCTTGTTGTTGGAGAAATCTGACTAACCCGTAACAGGAGACTGACCTGCCTCGTACCTGAACTGGTACAAATAGATGTTGGAGCCTGTTGGAATTGCTGTAGGTGGCTCTGAGGGTAAATGCATATCTGTTGTGGGGGTTTTCCATGTGTTTTTTTTTTTTTTTTCCCTTTTCTTTGTGGTGATCCAGCAATCCACCAAAGTTTTAAAACTGTAACCAAAATTGTAATATTTATAACAAATTGTAAAGGAATCGGGTGTTTTTGCTTACGTGCGTTGTTGTATTTGAAGCTTAGGCACGATTGATGAACACTCAGATTCTCAACATTTTTGAGGAGAATTTTTAGGCTCGGTGGACAAACCAAAGCTTTTGTTGTTAGTGCTTTACCCAGTTTACCTGCTGCTTATGTTTTATATCTTATGTAAAGAACGTCAAACTGAGCTTATCTTCTTATTCTCTTCACATTTGGATACAGATTCATTGTAAAATTCTCTGTTTGCTAAATAATCGAGTTTTATCAAATCACGTTTGCTTTGAAATATGCAAGAACCGAATATGAACTTGATAAATTAACCAAGTTGGGATTTTTTGTTTTTCTCTAAGCTGTTTATGATTTCTCGTTTGTGCAGGGAGGAAACCACGTGTATTTGAATATGTTTGTGTGATGAAAGAAGATGAAAGGCCGGCTTCATGCCGACACATGAAAAGCTTTTTTCAAACGTGTGGGTTTCTGCTGAGGATTGTTTTATTTTCATCATCAAACATTCTTATCAATTGTTTATTATACTGACAGTTTTTTAGTTTTTAAAGATTTTCTTTCTTTCTTTTTCATGAATTAAAGAGAATAAGTTAATAAATCATAACCAGAAGTTGATATTAAATGTGACTCTTTTTTTTTTTTATTATTATTTTATTTGGTGTCCTTGCTTAAATCTGCCAGAGATGAGTGTTTTCAGCAGTCCCTGATTTTGCACTCATGGCAGACCTGGCACTGGCTGAATAAAGACCTGTCTGCTGTGAAAGGCCTCATGGGGCTGAGCATCGAGGCTCCAGGACTGGCTCGGACGAAGGCAAAATGAGTGTTTAATTGCCTGGTGTTGTCTTCTTTGGCTGATGTGTTGGACGGCTTGTTAGCATCTGAGCCAACAGAGGCTCAAATCGTGTTTTAATTAAAGCAGTACAAGGACTCGGGTCTGTCCCAGCCTCCCCTCGCTGCCTGCTACCGCGTTGAGCTGTGGGGAAACGGAGACAGATGGATCATAAGCTCCTCCCCCTGAACATACACACACTTGCCAGCTGTTTTCAGTGGACCACATAAACTACAGCGTGTCACTCAGAGGCTCGTACGGATTAACAACAGCTGCAGTAATGCGTCCCTCTGTGTACGGCAATGTTAGTGCGTCCTGCAAGAGCAGAGGAAGACCTCTAACACTGAAACACACAAAGCTGAAGCTTAACAGCACTTATTAATCTGCCTTTAAGTGTTCCTAACCTGAGGATTGTTGTCAAGATTTAGACTGAAAAAGGAGCACGAGTCAGAGTACAGAATAACTCCTCCATGTGAATACTTTATCAGCTTCAGGAGAATAAATAACATTCACTCACATGACATTTAAAATAGCACAAAAGTTCAAACACATATGTGAACATTAACGATGGTGCACTGATGCTGCACCTGTTAGCTGAGCCCGCCGAGACTTACAGTAGGCGGAGAATGTTGAGGTAAATTCGCAGACTCTCGTGTCTTTTGAGTGCAAATAACACTATTCATGACAACACAAAGCCAGTTAAAGTTCAGGTTCCCAGTCTGTCCGGTTAGAAAGCACAAACCACTGCGAGTTCTGTTCAGCTGCTTTGGTGCAAATGAAACAGACGACAGGGTCTCTAGATGATTCTTCTTCCTCCCTACTCGTTTTTCTCAGGTTTTGCTTTTTGTTGGTGTCCTTTTCAATACTGGCAGGAAGAGATGGTCTCAGAAAGGTACATCCATGCGTGTCTTCACACCAAGGTTTGCTGTGAGCGTCTGTCACAGAAGGACCGGTATCTGCTCCTCTGTGTGAGAGGAACTGGAGGAGCGCCGACATGTTTCTGACTAATCTGTCAAAAGGAAACTCCATGAGGGTAGCATAAAATCCCAGCAACACTTCTCACAAACACGTCTTCCCAGTTTATTCCGTAGCTGTCGACCTTAAACTAATCGAGCACAAATTCCCGCTCTAACCCGAATCCTAAACTCTATCCTTAACCCCGAAACAGGCCTTTGAAGTTGAAGTGATGACCCTCAATCACAGGGTCTAACACTACATTGGTCCTCATAAGCACACCCACCCACCCACACATACTTTTAACTGTTTGTTTCATTTTGTATTGCCTCCTACATGGTGACTGCTTTGAAAAAGTAGACTCGTCTCTGCTTTTTAGTTCTTTTCATCATTTCATGTTTGAATTAAAATGAAATTCTTTTATTGGCAGTTGTTAGGCTGTCAGCTGAACGAGTCCTTGAAACAACCAAGCACACCCACCAGCAACTGAACCAGCACATCACACAGAGACAACCTATTGATGTCTGTGATAATGTTTAGAATGTAAAATCTAGTGTTTTTAAAGAAGGGGGATCTCATTTGCTTCTGCCGTGTCCTGTTTTACAATAAAACCTGTGGATGTCACACGTTCGTGTTTGAATTCCTAAAAAACAAATTGTATAACCAAGGAAGGAAGGTCATGACTGCTGCATTCAAGTCAGCACAAACGTTTCCCACTCAGCAGAATGAGTTGGGTTCAGTCCAGAGCAGCAATGTCAGTCCTAACAGTGCGGAGCACGTGATCTGCCACTGCACAAGGGTAAAAATACAGACGCGAAGCTTCCTTTAGGCCTTACGGATAATAAAGTCATTAAACACGACAGGCAATGAGTCAGAATAGTGATAATAATTTATTTATTCAGAGTCTTTGGCAGTGGAGAACAAACACCGAGGCTGAATTAATGAGAACATTTTCACGTGACGTTCAGTTTTTATCTGCGGTGGAGTGAAAGTGTGAAGGCTTCTGACATGTGTTGAAACAGACGAACAGATGGGCGTTTACGGCGTTAAATGAAATGAAGTATCCCGCCAGATTTATGACACTCTGACACAATTAGCATGTATGTTAGCAATGCTCCAGTCTGGTATACATGTGTGGCCTGAACTGTGTTACAAAAAGCATAGAAAAAGCAACAAAATTACAAAAAAGAAACTCATTTAGTGAAGAGGGAGCAAACTACTTCACGCGGCAGTTTGCACGCTCTCCCATATTCACATCCCATTGGCATCTGCTACCAACTGTCAAGTGCAACTCTGTAGTTCATATAATGAAGGGCAAAGAGGTACAAATACTTTCCATTTCAGTACGATACTCCGCTTTATCCTTTTTGTTCTTGTACAACTCGGGTTTTTTGTAGATCTGAGAGTCTCTCTAGATTAGAAAGAAGCTCAAACACTCTTTACACCCAAAACATTGGGCAGGTAAGGCAATTCAGCATTTGCAGAGGACTTGATAAAACCAAGTACTGGAACCAATCAGAATGCACAAAATGATGCATTCGTCACACAGCTCACAATATGGAGAAGAACACACACACACACGCACACGCACACACACACACGTAGCTGTCTGACAACGGAAACCAAAGGCATCACAGCTTCTGTCAATTATTAATATCATTCAGAATACTGTTAGAGGTCCATTCATTCATTCTTTCACTGCTCCATCTTCTGTCTCTGCATTCAGCACTCTTGTATTAGGAGAAAGGTAAAGCTTGAGCTACATGTACATCACAAGACATAAAGGAGTTCATTCAATATCAGAATACTGTTGGAGGTCAGGAGGTTGGTGCTCCCAATACATGTGCAAAAAATATCTGTTGTAGTAAAGAGTTCAGGCCACTTGGGGTCACTGTTTCACTCTGTCACAGGCATTAGCAGTTTAATCCACATCCAAGGTTCACGTTAAGGCTGGGCGAGGAATGGCACAGTTCGGGATGAGAGGGAAAGTCTGAAAGCCCGGAGGGTTCCACCCTGGATCCCAGAGAGCTCCTCATCCAATTATATGTCCACCCTCCGTCGTGTCTCGCCCTGGGTTAGTGGTGACACGGCAGGGTCACAACGTGACTTTGCTAAGTCTAAGCGAGAGGCTCGAGCGGTGCTGGGTCCGCGGGAGCGTGGAACTACATCGGCTACGCAGCTGCACGGGCCGGCCTGCCGAGCCCCGCACCCGCAGCAGGAAGTCAAAGTTTGCCGACGTGTTCATGGCGTAAAAAACGTTAGCGTTGTCTGGAATCACCAGTTCTGAAAGAAATTAAGAGCAGGATAAGAACCGGGTAAATTTTACAACCGGTGATACCATCTTCACACCAGTACAGAGGGCAGTGTGGTTCACAAAGCCTGAAAACAGCTAATTAGTGGAAAAAATAAATTAAAATTCTGACGTGCAAATCTTAAAGAATTGAGTTTTTATATAACTACTGCTAGCGAGCAATGTTAGCTTACGGTTAGCTTACAGTTCCCAAAGATTTTGAAGTCGATGTTTTACCTCTCTCCTCCGAGATGACCTGCACCAGCTCGTATCCTTCCTCCGGCTCCACCTCCAGGTTGTGCTTTGCCATTGCTCTAGCGATTACAGCTGGGGTCTTATCCTGATTGGTCAGCTGTTTGTGGGACAGATTAGATTAAGTTAGCTTTAACATAAACTGTGAAAATGTAAATCTTTAGCAGAAGCGTCAGTACTTATTCACCAGTATGCTCTTGTACAGATTTCCGTTGCCGTGTTCCAGACTGACTCTTATGATGCAGGCGTCCTGGGCCTGGGTGTTATAGGCGAGAGTCTGACTCGGGGAAGACAGGGGTGTGAGGGAGATGGAGCGTCGGTGCATACAGGAAGGCCCGGGGAAGGAGGGAGATGTAGGAATCACGGAGACGCTGGCTGTGGAGGAGTTTGTGTCCATAGAGTGGAGTGAAGTGCAGGAGGATGATTCTGATAGCTGGGGGTCACGATGAAAAACAACAATTATTTTCATTTTTCATTAAAATTATTATTAAGATTCATTATCATCTGACACAACTCCAACATTTACTTCATTTTGCATCTTGTGTCAAAAGAGTTAAATGGAGCTTATACGCTGGCCGGCCACTTGGCTCATTACACCTATTTAACTGTCCAATCACGTGGCAGTAACCCAGCAGATTTAGCCATGCAGACAAAGTCCAGACAACCCGCTGAAGTTCAAACATCAGAACGAGGAAGAGTCATAATTTAAGAGGCTTTGACTGTGGCGTGGTATCTGGTGACAGACACACTGCTCTCAATATTTCAGAAATATCTGATCTGCTGGGACTTTCCCACACAACCATCATTACAGCCAAGGTCTGCGGAAGAGCATATCTGAATACACAATAGGTCCGTGCTTGTTGTAGCAGATGGGCTACAGCAGCAGACGACCACACTTGCGCCAATCCTGTCCGCTAAGAACAGGAGACTGAGGCTACAGTTCATACAGGGTCAGAATTAGGGCGCGAGGGAACGGGAGAGTCACGGATGCAGCAGCTGTGTGATGAACTGCGCGTTCATATCAACGTGGAACAAAATCTGAATAATGTTTCCAGCACCGTGTTGAATCTGTGCCATGAAGAACTGCACCAGTTCTGAAGGAAAATGCATACTTAATGAAGTGGCCAGTGAATGCTCAAAAATTAGAACATTTGTTAATTCTCATGTGTAACTTTATATGTGTAAAAATGTTAATCCAATAAAAAATTTAAATGGAATTGACTCGTTTTTAATAAAGTTGTGTACTTTTTTTAGTGCACAGCACTTCCTGCCGGTGGCTTTGTCACCTAC